CAATGTGAACAGCTCTGACACTCATACATGTGAACAGAACACCGTACCTTTTCTCTCACCTACGTCCAATGGCTACGTACATGGGTCCGAAGTAATCCATTCCAACGATCGTGAACGGTCTGACGAATAATGAAAGTCGACAAGATGGTAAAGGGGACATTTCCGGGATTTCTGGTTTTGCTCTTCTGTTCTTACACCACTGGCAATTGTTCCACGAACACCTAACAGCCGACCTCATATTGAGAATCCAATACCTCTGGCGTAATTCATTGGACACATATTCTTGTCCATGATGTAGTGCTTGACGATGATAATGATTTACCAATAGTTTTGTGTAGTTATGTTTCGGGGGTAGAATGATGGGATACTTTGCATCTTCCGACAAATCAATGGAAAGAATAGTCCTACCTTTTACTCTGAGAATTCGGTCTTTGTCTAAAATTGGGGATAAGATGAATAATTTACTCGATTTTTCTAATGATTTGTTATTTTCTAGTCGTTTAATGTCTTCTAAAAATGTTTCTTTTTGTGTCTGCTTAATCCAACGCTTTTCGGCTTCATGCAATTCCTCAGGTATAAGTTCTCCACTTTTTCTTTAGCGCATTGTTGATGAATCTCAGGCACCATGCTGTCGAACGTATTAATTTCAACCAAGATGAAAATCTTGCAACTTCTGGTAGTGAGCTGCAGTTCTTTATTGCCAGCCCAACAAATTTCTTTCTGACTTCCGAAGTGTAGCTACAAGTGAATGTATATTTAGGCCAATATTCTTTGTTTAATTTGAGGAAGTCAGGCCCCTTGAACCACCGACTACTTGAATCCCACTGAATGGGTCCCTCCTCCCTGGTTGCCTCGTCAGCTACGTTTTGTTGCGTAGGGACCCAATTCCAATATTCCTCCTTAGAATTATCCTTAAATTCAGCAACTCGGTGTGCAACAAAGGGCTTGAATAAAGCTGCATCGCATTTTATCCAGCTGATTACTATTTGCGAGTCACTCCAAAAATAACACTCTTGGACTTCAATGCTATGATTTTCTTTTATAGTAATCGCGAGTCTGCTCCCTAATAATGCTGCTGTCAGTTCCATCCTAGGTATGGTGGTTGGCTTCAACGATGTTACTCGGGATTTGGCCATTACAAAGGCTGTTTTTGTTTCATCTGTGAATTCAAATCTGAAGTATGCTACAGCAGAATATGCTTGTGAACTGGCATCACAAAACACGTGCAGTTGTATAGTTTTAGCTTCAGAAATGTTCGGTACGTAGGCCCGAGGAATTGTTAGTCTTGAGATATTTCCTATTTCGGTTACCCATCTCCGCCACCTCTTCATCAAATCATCATTTAGGTTGTTTTCCCAGTCAAGTTTCGAACGACAGACGTCTTGAAGTATTATTCTTCCTATTATTACGAAATTGCTGAGAAATCCAAATGGGTCGAAAATGGTCATAACGATCCTCAATGCCTCTCTTTTTTGTCACAGATTTGCTTTCTTTTAGGGTCAAAATTTGGTCTTTGTTCTATTTGGTAGAGAATTCGTATAAGTCGCTATTTGGGTTCCAATAGAGTCCCAGGACTCTTTCAGTGGGTAAAATCTCATTTTTTTCAAAGGTCATGTCTTTAATTTTGTTATTTATGTACTTTTCGGGTATGCTTTTCATCAGTTCTTTACTGTTACTGGACCAATTTCTTATAATAAATCCCCCTCTTGCGTGTACGTCGATAACTTCATTGACTATCTTTCTTGCTTCTTCAATGGAGTCTTTACTATCTAGGTAGTCATCGACATAGTGCTGCTCTCGTATGGCTCTTTCGGCATTTGGAAAGGATTCTTTGAATTCTTGCGCATTTTTTCTCATTACATACTGGGCAGTTGTGGGGGATGAGGCAGCTCCGAAGGTCATGGCTATCATTTCATATTCTTCAGGTTCTTTACTCCTATCATCTCCACGCCACAGGAAACGTTGTGCACTTCGGTCTTCCCACCTGATGTATACCTGGTGAATCATCTCTTGGATATCTGCGGTAAAGGCTATAGCTCGTTGTCTGAATTTAAATACTACTCCTAAGAGTGAGTTTAACAGGTCTGGTCCTTTTAGAAGCACGTCGTTTAAGCTTATTCCTTTTGTTTTAGCCGCAGCATCCATAACCAGTCGGATTTTCCCTGGTTTATTTGGGTTTGTTACTGCAAAATGAGGCAGGTACCATAGATTCTTTGGGTTTGGTTGCTTGTCTTCACTTGGTACTTTTCTTGCGTAACCCTTTTCCATGTATTCTGAAATTTTCTTTGTATATTCTTCCGAAAATGTATTGTTGTAATTTTGATTTTGGTAGAATTGTAGTATTTTTACCTCCGTCGTGAACTTCTCTAGGTATTATTAGGTCGATGTTATCATGCCCAATTAGGATTTTTGGTTTTACGTTTTCCATTGATGATACACCGACTTGATTCAAATAGTTCCACTTCTTCCTCATTTTTTTTATGTTGATTGACTGAACTGGAAGGTCTAGATTTCGGATGGTTCTAACGTTATTTAGGATAAAGTGAGTGTCAGTTCCAAAGTCATTTTCGCCGCGAATTTTGAATGATACCTTCATTGAATTTAGGCCTTCATTTGTAATGGAGTTTGTCCATCTGATTTTTAAAGGTTCTTTGGGACCGGAAACGCCAACTTCTTCGGCGACTGAAGCGTCGATCATTGTTACTGTAGAGCCTTCATCGAAAAGTGCGTAAATTTTAAGTGTTCCGTTTGGTCCCTTAATCTCCACGGGAGCAATTCTTAGAAATATTTCATTTCGCTCAGCCTCAACAAAAAGGTTTAATTGCGTTCGCTCCATAACAGGTATTAGAGACCTACGATCATCTTCAGAATCCACCAAATCTTTGTGGAGCAGTGGGTGATGTTTAAAGGAACATCCATTAATATCGCATCTTTTCTTGCTCCGGCATTGACGGGTTTGATGTGAAGAGCCAAGGCACCCAAAACAAATTTTGCTTTTTCTTACCCAGTCCCATCTTTTTTGATAATCAAATTTTTTAAATTCGTGACATTTTTCTAGTTTGTGTCCATCTTTTTTACACATTTTACATTTATGTACAATTTTATCGTTTTGAACTGACGCATTACACACAAATTTCTTTTTTTTGTCTAGGTCAATTTCAAAGCTAGTTACATACATTGCAGCTTCTCCTGTCTCTTGAAGCCACGCAGATAATTCCATAATGTTCACGGGTTTATTTAATTTTTTAAGTTCTATTATTTTTCTTCCCCACTCCATTTTCATTGAAAAGGTCAACTTTTTAGTTAGGTCTGAAAGGAGTTGCGGATTCAAAAGGTATTCATGGCAGTTTAGATTTTCTACGGTTATCGCCAAATTTTGTATCTTGTTTGCGAAGCTTAATATTACATCCATTCTGTCTTCTTTCAATGGAGGGATTTTGGTTAAGGAATCAATGAGTTCGTGAATAATTATTTCAGGTCTGCCAAACTGTTTTTCTAGAATATCTATTATCTTATTCACGTTTTGGGTGAAGTTTAGTAATGCACTAACTGATTCTCTTGCGTTTCCTCTTAAGCTTTTCTGTAAACGAATGATATTTTCTGATAAAGAAAACCCACAAATTTCTGTCGACTCTTTAAACTGGGCTATGAAATTTATCCATTCTCCGGGTTCACCAGAAAACAGTGGTAGTTCTTTGTTGACTGATTGCCTGGCCATAAACTGTTTTAATTTATTGTCTTCACATGGCGAACTTACGATTTTTTGGTCTTGGGGTTCTAAATTATTTATCCATTTTTGAACATAAGAAGATTTGGAAGTTGCGGTTTTCGCATTATCTTCAATTTCTAATGTGGAGCATCTGCTGGAGTACATTTCTTTAATCTCTGCTTTTTTTAATGCCGTTTCTTTTTCAATTAGTTGTTTTTCTATTTCTGCTAATCTACGGTCTTTTTTAAGCTCTAATTCTAACTGTTTACGCTTAATTATGCTACTTTTAGTTTTTCTTGAATTATATACGCCTGTTTTCGTTTTCGATGTTTTACTTTCGGTTTTAGAGCTTGAAGGTTTCTCTGTATTGGGGTTAACAACATTTTGCTTTGAATCCTCAGACCCGTCGTCGTGATTTTGTCTTTCGGAAACGTTTACTTGTCTGCAGGTGTCTTCCCCATATCTGACTGGCCCTTTGTGGACCTCTTACTCTTTCGAACTTCTTTTTCGGACATTTTTCACAGGCGTGATTCTTTGGTAATAGCTCGAAGGACCAGCTTTGTTCTTGACCAAAGAGGCCGTTTTGGAGTTTCGACTACGGTTTTATTGTTTTTTTTAAAGAAAACTGTTCTTTCTCAATGACAACCTTTTTTTTATTATCTTGTCAAAAACATAATGACACTACTATCTAAAGCATTATACCTTGTAGAATACAGGGTAACACAGGTAAAATATAGTAACAAACTTAAAACTAATGAAAATTAAAAACAATTCATAAATACAATTAATTTAGGAAAAGGAAACACGAACATCTACCATTGAGATAGAATAAAGAGGAGATGCTATGACGATGCTAAATTGTCCGCACCTTTGTATTATATTTTTACGTCAATGTCAAACTCGAGATAGTGTAGCTAGTCAGTTTTGGTGAAATTTTTTCTTCAGTGTTTTAAGTTTTAACAAATTATAAACATTTTTTTAAAGAATTTACTTTGTAAGGATCATTTTTATTTTTATGAAAATTTTAAATATCTTTTGAATCGAAACAATTGCATAACAGCGTATATAGTTTTTGTGATAGCAAATGACCTTCACTTCGTTTTATCAATGAGTTATGAGACACTGCTATTATTGTTTACAAAATTGACTATTTCCCAAAAGTGGTAATATTTCGTTTTAGAACTCTCTACACCTGTTCACTAAATTTTTATGATTACTTAATTCTATCTTTAAATTTTATTTTTAAATTATTCTTATATATTGCATTTTCTTACCAAACCTTGTGAACAAGTATCTTCTTCGACTCCGAAACGTTTTTCATAAACTCCTTCGCGATGTTCAACCTATATCAAAGCATGAACAAAAAGGACGAGCAGGATAACAAGGAGCCTGACGTTATCGGTCACGAGCGATTCTATCAAGCGCGTTCGAGAAGCGTCAAAAAGAAGAAAAGGGTTACCAGAAGGACACACAGCGCTGCGGAATTCCCTTCTTCTACTCTGACAGCTGCGAGTAAAAGAGCAGCATTCAAAAACAGAAGCCACAGCTCGGAAAACAAAAGTGATGATGGAGGGAAATCAACGCCGCAAAGGGTGGACTCTATTGCTAAACTGTTCTTCGGAAAACGGTAATATCTTAGATATTTAAGATCTTAATAGAACATAATAGTGACTCTGTAAAGCTGGCCCCCGAAATTCGAAAATTTTAGTTTTAGAAGCGGCATACGTTTGACCACCTGTTGGCCATGTTTAACCACCCACCAACCACCCACCAACCATAAAATTTTAAAGTTTGAAATAACAAACCTTATTTTGATCAAACTAGTTTGAAAGTTTGAATAATTAAATCGTTATGGTTTGCAAGTATTTTATTAGTACAAATATAAAAAAAGCTGCTTAATACATGAAAGAAAAATAAAGTATTTATACTTCGTACATTTTTATTTTTTTTTTATTTTAATGTTGAAATAAAGTCTGTTAAAACTCTATTAGCCGTCCAAGAATTTAAAGACATTAAACATTTAACAGATTCATCATTTAGTCTATTTCTTCGTTTGGTAATTGTTAAAGAAGCTCTTGAAAAAAGCTTCTCTATTGATGCCGATGTAGCAGGTATGGCTAAGAAAAATATAGCCATTTCAGATAATATTGGAAATACAGTCTCGTGCCTCTACCACTAATTCAATACATTTTCTGAACTATTAGCCGGCTCTGCCTTCAGATAAATTTCTGTAATTTCATATTTCCGGGAATTTTTATCGACTGAGTCTGGATTTTAACTACAAGATGTTTGAAAGAAAGCTATTACATCTATATCAAAATTTTCGGAATCTTTACATTGGCTTTGGAGGGCTGATTTTGTTAATAATTCGTTTTGTTGAATAGCCGCATCATCGGCTTCGGAATCATATTTATTTTTATCAGGGATAAATTCTGAACCGCTGGATTGAAATGGTTCAGGCTCGGACATTTCCAAATCACTCATTAGTATTTGTTTTCAAAGAGATAGGCTGTAGTTTGTGCCTCCTGAGCTTGGCAAAATATAAAACTAAAACAAATAATCTTACGACGATGCTTCGTCAGCCGGGATCAGATATAACTGGCCATGATACTGTATCCCTGCTACGTCTCATTGCGTAACCTTAAGAAATTAAAAATGCGGTACGGCCGGTGGCGGTACGTAACACTTTTCGTATTTCAAACTATTTCAAACTGAAAAAGTTTGATTTCAAATCAAGCTCCCGAATTGATTTTCAAATCAAATCAAATTCTTTTATAAAAAAAATTGATTTTTCAAGTCAAATCAAACTTGACTTGTCAGTTTGATTTGATGCATCTCTACCCCCAGAAACCTATATATTTATAAAAATATTAATGGCCGAGTGCCCGCTGGCCCCCCAAAGTTAATATTTTTTAAAAGTGACTGCACCATAAGATTAACCAATTTTTGACTATGTTTGACCCAAATTGTACTTTTCGAATTTTCACACTACTTGAGCACATTAAAATTGTTTAAGGGGGTGGTCAAACGTCATAGCATAATTCTAAATCATTATGGATCTTTATTGTAAACCTTAGATAAAAGAGACGAGAGATATAACATACACCGGTTTTAAACCTGCGCAAATGTTGCCAATTTCTAAAGAAGGGTTAACGGAGTGGGGGAACTGGGCGACGACACGCGGCGACCCGAACTCTGTGACAGGGACCGGACTTTGTTTATTAGCATCTTAATGAACTATTAGGTTTATTTAAAAGGTGTTTAATCGAATTTTGTATTATGAAATCAAATTATCGTGATTTTTTAATATCAAACAGATGCCACGACATTTAATGTAAAGAGAAGACCTTTTATAGAATAATTCGTTAGCGTTTATTTACTACGGACTTTTCTGCAAGAGATTACAGTAAAATGTTGAAATAGAATATATTGTTAATAGAGCAAAAAATGTTACTCATTGTCTACGAGTATTATAAAAATAGCATATGCGCAGGCTAATACTGCAAATCTACCCTTATGAGTTAAACATTATATTTTTTCTACGGCTACTACATATTATTAAAAATTAGTCAAAATGAGAAAATGCTGTTTTGTATTGTAACCTCAGAAAAAGTATATTAAGGCTTCTTTCTTTAAGAATATTAATTATTATAAGGGATGAGTCACATAAAACTCTAGAAATGCATATGTCTGAAACCAGATAACATTTTAAAATTTAAATCTATTAAAAGTCATTTGGTCGCTAGGGATGAGTGATTATCGAAATAAATTATCGATAATTGAAAATAATCGATTATTTTCGATCAATAGATTATTTTCCAATGATATATTTTTTGTCATTTCCTTTAAAATCGACTACTTGATTATCTTTGAAAAATCAAAAATAATCGATTAATTAAAAAGCTAATTAACCGATAAATCAGTGTTTACAAAATATAATATAAATAGAATTATCGTTTATTTTAAATAATCGATTGTTTTCAAACAAACCATTTTTTTTCGTCCATGGAAACAGATTATTCGATAATCTTTGAAAAATCGAAAATAATCGATTAATCAAAAATAATCAATTAATAAAAAAGTCGATTAACTGATAAATCGATTTAAAAAAAACAGAATGATCGATTATTTTAAATAATTAATTATTTTCGATCAATCGATTATTATCAATAATCTATTTTTATTGTATTTCCTTTAAAATCGTTAATTCGATTATCTTTGAAATACCGAAAATAATCGATAATTCCAAAATAATCGCCTAATCGAAAATAATCAATTAATTAAGAAGCCGATTCTATGATATATCGATTATTACCATTAATCTATTTTATTGTATTTTAAAAATATTCGATTAATTAAAAAGTCGATTAACTGACAAATCGATTTTCAAAAAAAAACAGAATGATCGATTATTTTAAATAATCGATTATTTTCGATCAATCGATTATTATCAATAATCTATTTTTATTTTATTTCCTTTAAAATCGATAATTCGATTATCTTTGAAATATCAAAAATAATCAATAATTCCAAAATAATCGCCTAATCGAAAATAACCAATTAATTAAGAAGCCGATTCTATGATAAATCGATTTTCCAAAAAATAAAACGAATTATCTATTATTTTCTAATTATCCTTTTTTCATATTTCCTTTGAAATTGATTATTCGATTATCGAAAATAATTGATTATTAAAAAGCCGATTATCCAATAAATCGATAATTTTAAAAAATAACCAAAATATCGATTATGTAAAATAACCGATTATATTCAATCGATTATTTTTATATATTTTTGAAAAATCGAAAATAATCAAATAATTAAAAAACCATTTTTTTTCGTCCATGGAAACAGATTATTCGATAATCTTTGAAAAATCGAAAATAATCGATTAATCAAAAATAATCAATTAATAAAAAAGTCGATTAACTGATAAATCGATTTAAAAAAAACAGAATGATCGATTATTTTAAATAATTAATTATTTTCGATCAATCGATTATTATCAATAATCTATTTTTATTGTATTTCCTTTAAAATCGTTAATTCGATTATCTTTGAAATACCGAAAATAATCGATAATTCCAAAATAATCGCCTAATCGAAAATAATCAATTAATTAAGAAGCCGATTCTATGATATATCGATTATTACCATTAATCTATTTTATTGTATTTTAAAAATATTCGATTAATTAAAAAGTCGATTAACTGACAAATCGATTTTCAAAAAAAAACAGAATGATCGATTATTTTAAATAATCGATTATTTTCGATCAATCGATTATTATCAATAATCTATTTTTATTTTATTTCCTTTAAAATCGATAATTCGATTATCTTTGAAATATCAAAAATAATCAATAATTCCAAAATAATCGCCTAATCGAAAATAACCAATTAATTAAGAAGCCGATTCTATGATAAATCGATTTTCCAAAAAATAAAACGAATTATCTATTATTTTCTAATTATCCTTTTTTCATATTTCCTTTGAAATTGATTATTCGATTATCGAAAATAATTGATTATTAAAAAGCCGATTATCCAATAAATCGATAATTTTAAAAAATAACCAAAATATCGATTATGTAAAATAACCGATTATATTCAATCGATTATTTTTATATATTTTTGAAAAATCGAAAATAATCAAATAATTAAAAAACCGATTAAACGATAAATCGATTATTTTGAATAAATATACTTTTTTTTGTATTTCCTTTAAAATCGATTAATACATTATCTTAAAAAAAAAACGAAAATAATTTATTAAAAACAGCGGATAAATCGATTTTCATTAAAAAATATCAGAATTATCGATAAATCGATTATTTTTGTAATCCCTATCGGTCGCTTGCTTTTATCTGAGCATTTAGCTCCAAAATTTAGAGATTCGGATTTTTTGATCCAGTTATCTTTGAAATCGCATTCGCTTGTATAATAAATAAATATTGCTAAATTTTGGATTTTTTTTAGTAAACGAAAATTATGTTCGAGTTGTTTAGGGGTTTGTAATGTAACATTTTATTAACGTGACTAAGGGTCGATTCCACCGTTGTGTTAAACGAAGTTTAAAATGACATTTTTACATTAACACTGTCATTTTAATCTCCGTTTAACACAACGGTGGAATCGGACCTAACTCCTGTAACTTTAGTATTTTTTTTTGCTTATACTAGATTACTTTGTTTTAAGACTGAAAATTCAATGTCACTTTCGATTTGACCGCAAATAAGATGAACCTTGAAATTTTAAGTAGGTCATCCTATATTTCATCTAATATTCTTATAAAAATACCTTATAAAAATAAAATTTAGCTAGCAACTATGATTCTTTACCTCTTATTTATCTACCAAAAAGGGCTAAAAACTACCTTTAGAAAACATTCTTATAAAACTACTTTTTAAATACAAAATTTCGTTAGCAATAATGCCTATTTACTATTTATTTAAATTAAATGTTCAAAATTTTACCCTTTTGTAAATTTATGTAAGTAATATGAAATCTGAGTTTGTGATGCTTAATATTTATTGAAACCCCTTAATGCGGATCTGGAGTATTCAGCCCAGATAATCATGGCGCTTTATGTCAAAACGTTAATAAATATTTACCGCTGAAAACGAAT